AACCTGCACCACACCACTGAAGACCCAGATGAGGCTTTCTTCGTGATTTGGCGTGAGGCAGGGTTGAGAGCTCTGGCATGTGTAGAAGCACCAAGTTTTCAAATTCCCACTGTATCACTAATAAAGTGTTAACCTGGAACAGTGATGTTACCTCTTCAAGCCTCAGCTTCCCCATCTATAAAGTGGGATAATAATAATAATAACAATGCCCCTCTTAAAAGGTAGACAATGTATATGTAGCCATAGGTACATATTTTTGTCTTGACTCCCAAATAATAAATCAGTTGCCAAACTTTGTAGCTTCTCATGTCTTTCTCAGTTGTCTCAGTACTAGTGCCTAGTTTACATCCTCGCCTCTCCTTCTTGCCTCCAAACTGTCCACCCCACTCTGCTCAGACCTCAGGACCTTGGGTTTCTAGGGTACCAGACAACAATTGGAGGTGCCCTCTACAGTGGTAGGATGGTGAGCAAGGTTGGAAAGGCGAGGTGACCTGTCCAAGGTCGCAGGATGCTACCAGAGCCACTTCTTGACTCTGCTGCTGGGCCATCCTTTGAACTATATCCCTGCCCACAGTCCAGATGGGTATTGACTACGACAGCCTGGGACTGCCTTCTCCTCAAACAGTACCTTCCAGCTTAGTGACCTAGGGGAGGTGCCCACAGACCCTGCTCCACGCCAGCCCACCTTCCCAGCCCCTTCAGTCATCCCTACCTCAGCCTCCTCTACTGTCTTGTCCAGCCTTCCACTGTCTCCCACACACTGGTCCATGGTTCGTTCACACATGTGCTGGGCCTCACACTGTGGTTGGGATGCGGAGCCTCTGTCACGTCTCTTCCCTCCAGAAGCTCAGGTGTGGTGAGCTCCATGTACTCCACCACACTCCCACCCCAGACCCCTGGCTCCTTCAGTCTCTGACACTGTCTTTCCTCCATGAAGTCCTCCAAGACTGACTGACTGGTGGAAGACCAATTCCCATTGCTCCCAAATGGCACAGTTCCCCTCTGGAAACTGTGGATCCAAATTGGAAAAGAAGAAGTGAAACTGTCATTATTTGCAGATGACATGATACTGCATAAAGAGAACCCTAAAGATTCCATGAAGAAACTACCAGAACTAATACATGAGTTCAGTAAATTAGCAGGATATAAAATTAATAGCCAGAAATCAGCTGCATCTTCATATGCCAATAATGGACTATCAGAAAGGGAAATTAAAAAAACAATACCATTTACAATTGCTTCAAAAAGAGTGAAATACCTAGGAATAAGTCTAAACAAGGATGTAAAAGACCTGTACTTGAAAAATTATAAGACACTGAAGAAAGAAATGGAAGAAGATACAAATAATTGGAAGTACATACCATGTTCATGGATCGTAAGAATTAACATTCATTAAAATGTCAATACTACCCTAAGCAATTTATAGATTCAACACAATTCCTATCAAGATACCAATGACATATTTCATAGAACTAGAACAAATATTTCAAAAATTTATACGGAACCACAAAAGGCCCCACATAGTGACAGTGATCTTGAAGGATGGAGGAATCATCCTCCAAGAAAAAGTTGGAGGAATCACACTACTTAATATCAAACTATACTGTAAGGCCACAGTAATCAAAACAGCATGGTACTGGCATTAAAAACAGACACATAGTTCAATGGAACAGAATAGACATCCCAGAAATAAACCCACACCTTTATAGTCAATTAATGTTTGACAGAGGAAGAGAGCATATAAAATAGGCTAAAACTAATTTGTTCAATAAATGATGTTTGGAAACTTAGATATGGACAGAAAAATGAAACTCGACCACCTTCTTATGCCATATACAAGAATAAATTCAAAATGGATTAAAGACTTAAATGTTAGACCTGAAACCATAAATGTCCTAGAAGAAAACATAGGCAATAAAATCGCAGACATTGCTCATAGCAATATTTTTTTCTGATATATCTCCTCAGCCAAGGGAAACAAAAGAAAAATAAACAAATGGGACTACATGAGTTATTTTATCCTCTTCTTTAAACTGGACTTTGTTAACACAAAATGGCTACCATTTTAAAGTCCTTTTTAAAATATATAACATCTTGTCTGTGTTTCCTGAGTGTAGAAGTCCATATTGCTGTCCGACTGCATGTTAAATCCCTAGGCAGACCCCAGTTCCCTGTGACGGAAGGCCGCCTGCCTGGAGGAGGAGAGGAGAGGCACCCACAGGGCTTCACAGACACCATCAGAGAGCAGGGAAAGCCCTGTGAACCGCAGAGAGGGAAAGACCCCATCTGGGTATGAAAATCCAGGAAGAAATCACCTTCAGTCTATCCACCTTTGACACAGACACCTCGAGGACCAGTTTACATGCCCTGCACGACAGCATCGCTGATCCCCAGCTGCGTTTACACAGTGTCTTCTAAGGAAAAACACCCCGCTCTGCACGGACCTGCCTGTGACACTTTTCTGGTGGGGTTTGGGCAGGTACATCTGTTTGCAGTTTTGCTATCTCTCTGCAATTTGCTTGTGTAAATTCTTCCCAAAGAGAAGCCAGTCTGTCATCTTTGGTATCTCCTCCCTCCACACTTCTCCTGACTTAACATCTCATACTTAGAAAATGCTCAATAAATGCTTGTTTAAAGGGAGGAAAGAAGGAGGAAAAGGAGAGAAAAGAAGGAAGAAGACAGAAGGAAGGAGCAGAGGGAAGGGGACGGAAGGAGGCATGCGGGGAAGGAGTTCAGAGATGCGCTCGGATGGAAACCCTGTCAGCAGCCCCCAGAGGCCCTTCTCCTCTTCTCTGGGCTCCTCAGGGTGTGTCTTCTCTCCCAGGCTGGGGAGCAGATTTAATTTTCTGTTGTCTTTCAAGGGATAGAGCCCCTCTCTCCAGCACCCTGTGTGGAAACCAACAGTTCAAGGATAGCGCTGAATGTGTGTTCCTGATGAGAACAGCTGCAGACTCATTTGGATGATTAAGATTGTTCAGATCAACAACCTTGAGCAGGATCCAGTAAGTTATAGGAAACCCATCAGCCCACCATCCCCCTTAGGAACAGAGACTGCCAAGCAGCCAGGGTCCTCTGGCCCTGAGGCAGTAGAATCCAGGTGAGTACAGCATCTCCAGATGGCAGAGGCGGGCAGTGGCTGAGGGATGGGCTTTGAGCCTCACACAAGGGCTAGTGAAAAAGGAGTCCACTGAGGTGTCAACACCTCAGACAATTGGAACTGCAAATCCAGTTCCAATACAAATGGAACTGTATTTCCACATTTCTCTTCCTTTCTCTGAGACGTGAGGACTTCAGATTCCCCTGTTCATTTCTTCCTAGCCGAGAGCAACTCTGCCCCAGGATGGAGAGGAGTACCAGGCCCGAGACTCTGAGTGGTGCCAGAGCTGCTGAGGGGCCTCAGGCAATTTGTTGATTCAGCCTCGTCCTCATCTCCAAACATTTACCCAGTCGAGGTGGTCCCTGTCCCATCTCTAGTCCTTACAGACTTTCTTCTTGAACCAAGAAGCTGCACTGCCATTTGCAATATGTTTCTTTCTTTTTACAGAAAATCTTCAGACAGCTCTCGTGAATTCAATTCTAAACTAATTCTCCCCCAACCCACGAGTCTCTGGTCTCTGCTCAAGTCTTGTCAACTAAATGAGAGTCTACTCCGCTCTCAAACCCACTCTGCCCTCCATGTCAAGATCCTGGCCAGTCCTTGTCACACTCTCGCACCCTTTCAGGACACCCTCACCCATCTGTTCATCCAGCATATCTTTCACTGAGCACACACAATCAGTAAGGTTGGGAAAAGCAAAAATGAGGAACACAGCCCTGTCTTCGAGATACTTCTTTACAGTGAAAGAATGTAAGCAAATAAGTAAATTAGTATGTGTGCAGTATCGTGCATTCCATAGAAAATAATACCCCAGAATATCAGAGTTAATCAAAACCTCAGAGATCATCTAGCCTTTAAAACATCCAGTTCCTCACATACTGGCCTTACAAATCAGATAGCTGCATCATCTTTGCACTTAGCACTCAGAAGACCTATGTTCTGTGGTTATGAGAGAGAGATCAGAGACTCAACCGAATCATCTAGGAGAAATGCCTGCCCGCCTGGGGCTTCCGCGTCTCTCTATTCTGTTGGCCTTTCTAACCCAGAGCTTAATCTCTCTAAGCCCCAGTTCTTTCTTCTATTAAGTGAGAGGGTTGGGCCACCTGACTTCTGAGGCCCTTCCAGCTCTAACATTTTATGATCTATGATTAAGGCTGAGATGACATTGCTCTAAGCTGCTGTCCAGAGGGTGACCCGCCAACTTCCATAAAAATAATCATTATTAACCTATGATAATTGGTCAATAAAACCATCACAGTTTTATAGCATGAAACTTGGAACCTGCTGAGACCAACACTATTGATGAGTCAAGTGGAAGTTCAGTCTTAGAAACAAAAAGTGAATTGGTCACTGCTGGAGTCGTATTAGTCAAAGTGACATAGACTTGAACTTATCTTGGTTGAAATAAGAACAGTTAATAGAGAAACTGAGTGACATACAAAACAGTCTTGGGTTGGAAGAACCCGGCCAATCAGATCAGGAGAGGGGACTTTGGAGGGTACTGAATGGTGCCAGAGAAGGAGTCAGAGGACTTGCTTGACTAGGAAAGTGTGTCCCTTCTCCCTTCTCCTGGGTTCTTAAAAGACCACTGCCCTCCCTGTGGGGCCAGGCAGCCTGAGACCGGTGAGTGGGGGCTGGGCTTGCCCTCCGGCTCTGACTCTTCCTCAGGTGGCTAAATCTGTTCAGTATCTGCCTGACTTCTTATATTTGAAGACCATCTTATTCCTGAATGTGCACTTGTTCCTTGAACTTGACAAAATTCTGCTGATCTCTTAGGCTTACCCTCAAAATTTTCTTGTTATGTGCTACAACCTTTATAATAAAATGAGAATCATCAAGTGTTATCACCCACTATGTGCCAGATGACTTGTGTACTCAACTCACTAAACCCTTACTGCAACCATGTGTGATTGGGATTTTCCTCACCATTTATAGTTAAGGGAACTGAGGCCCAGAGGGTTGAAATAACTTGCCAAGTGATATATAACTTTGACTGGTGAAGCCAAGATTCGAACCCAGGTCTGCTTGCTTTCAAAGCTCTTTCTCCATCATCCAGACCTCCACCTCACTGAGCATCCTGGTCAGGTCTACACCAACTCTGCCTGCAAGAAAGAATGAGATACTTATGTTGTAAACCATCAAGGACTTCCCCTTGTCCAAGGGAAAAGATGAAATGTCGACAAGAGAAAGTGGAAGTTGAAAGCTATGAGATCGGCTTGAGTAGTGAGCCAAAGCGCGCAGGTAGAAAACACAGGGACACAGATGATGAGGTTGAAGGTCATGATGTAAGAAGCCAGGGCAGTGCGGGGAGAGGCAGCCCCACAAACCTGGGCAGGACATTGCAGCCTGTGTGAGAGGTGGCTTTTAGCACAAGGCGTCCCGCCAGGGAGGGGGAAGTTCATTGTGGATGCTGCACGGGGCTGGACAGGAGATCTTGAAGGTCAGCCCCCTAGCTTCAATCGTCCAGTGTCAACCCTCCCAAGAAACCGCCCAGCCTAGCACAGGGGCCAGTCAATCTACTTATATGTGATATCAGATGGACACCATATACAGTTGCTACCAAGTTGAGAAGAAAAAAGAAGTGGACACGAGTAGACCTACAATCTGTGCACTTGCCATCTTCTCACAGGAAGACAGGGAAAGGGTTGTTACAACGGTCAAAGTCAGCCCCCAGACATGACTCGATAAACCACTTGGGACATATTACAGGTAGGCTGGGCTTTAAGAAAACTTGTTAGACAAGTGTGTGGATGCATTAAATTTGGTTCTGGAAGATTCTTCGGGTTACTGTTTGAGTCACCCAACCTCCGTTTAGAGATGTGTTCCTAGAACGTGTCTGCCGTGCGGACACGCGGTGCCTGCGGGGCTGCCAACCAGCACGGCGTCGTAGGCAGTGGCCAGGACAGCCCGCCTACCTGCAGCAGGTATGCTTCTCGACTGAACAGAGCACTGCTCCTTCTTGCCAGTGTGGTGTCACTAACCAGTAGGATTCCAGAAACATATGCTTGATAATTAAACAAGGAGTGACTGGTTATTATGTACATATTTAATTAATGTTTGTATTAGTGTAAGGCAAATCATGGTGTTGTGTGTGTATTCTAGATGCTTCATTAGCAATACATAATATTGCTCATGTTTTAGTGAGCTGTAATACGATGGTCTTTGCCCAGCACTCACACTGAACAAAGTCCCTAATACACAAAAAAAACACCGACAGGGAGCACAGGCTTTCCAAGCAAGGACTGACAGCCAGGGGCGTTCTTCTGATTTGTCTGATTATGTTCAAACCACTTACTTCTCTAAGCCTCAACTTCCTCATTCGTAACTCTCCTCATTCGTAACTCTCCAATGGGCCACCCTGCTGAGCCTCGCCTGCCCCAAACTTAGCTCCTGCCTCACTCCAGCAGCTCTGACCTCTGGGAGCCCCATTCCCATCAGGCTCCCTCCACCACACAGACTCTGTGCCTGCAGCCCCTGCACCTGCAGCCCACCTGCCCCACTGGCTTCCTCTCAGCTCTCAACTCACGCGGCTCCTGCAATTCAGATCTCCAATGCAGCCCCATTTCCTCCAAGAAGGCTCGCTGCAGAGTCCTCCAGGTCAAACCCTTCCATTTAGAACTCATTTCACTGTGTCTGTCTCTGATGCAGACTGACGTGCATTTGTGTGGTTACGTGACTCGTGTTTCTCTCCTTCCCAGGCTACAAGCTACTCTTCACTGTAACCAGAGAGCTAGAGGAAGTGGGAGCTCAATTAATATGTGCAGGAATAAAATTAATTAATCACTTGATGTAAAATGGGTGATACCTCCTAATAATAATGTTAAGAGAACAGCCCACTTCCGCCACCTCTGAGCCCTCCCCCACCATGTGAACCTCACTCATCTCAAGTTAGAAATACCTGGCTGTACAGTCATTGCATTCCCTGCCCCAGCTGCCCCGCCCACCGCTGACCCATCCAGCCAGGGTGTCCTGTGTAGACAGCACCTCAGGGTCCCACTCCTACTCTTCTCCGCTGCTCCTTGGCTGAGGGTCATGCCGTCCTCTGCTCTCTGCCTCTCTCATTCAGGATCTAGTACCGAAGACCCTAAGCCATTTTGGTTTTTGAATCAGCTGTTGTTCGGTGTCTAAAGAAATCTGTATGCTTCCTCTTCCATCATCAACCCTCCCTCTTTCTCCCCCTTCTCCCTTAGTCATCTTGCTAGTGAGCCAAAAGTCACTTTAATTGTGACCAATAGACGCAAGGGGTCTGAGTCGGTGAGAAGGAGAGTGGGATTAGATGTCTTCAAGTCCTTGAACATCAGGGTCCCCGCAAAAGCCTACCATTTAGCTTCCCCCAGGCAATTCCATTTCTTTGAGAGGTCAGCTTTCAGAGTAAATGCAAACAGTCTATTCAGCTTTGAGATGGATTGGGTAATTAATTATGGACATAGCGCAATGTGATAGGAGGGCTCATTTCATTGTCAATGTGCAGGATCTTAGCTGCACTCTGCACGGTTGGTGTGGGAATTCTAAGGACTTATTACTTGTTTCTATGCAAAAGGTCCAGACTCTTGAGCTGCTTCGTAACTTGCATCCTTCTGAGAAGTTGGAAGCAAACTTGTAATCATGGAGATGATCTGTTGGAGGTAAGACCACCTTAATTTTAAAGAGTGCTGGTAATGTCAGGTTTTGTTCGGGGATCCACACCAAGCTCCCAAACACTTGGCCTGGAGTCAGCTCCCAGCAGCGCAGTCCTGGGGTCCGAGACAAATGCCGTTCAGGCAAACCTGCAGCAGCAGTGGCAACAATGACACTTCCCAGAACTGTCTCCAGCCCTTAAGGGTAGACCCTGTGCCTGGGTCCGCAGTGTGCCTGTCTTTCTCTAGAGCTGGCTTCCCCTCTCTCACCATTGCTCCTTATCACCCAGCCCTTAAGGACACCAACAGTCTTAGTCTCACAACCACCACAGCACCGTGACTTCTGCAATCACTGACAACTTCGAAAGCAGAAACGAGTGTCCCGCTTTATAGATGAGTAGACTCAAGTGTGTGGCAGAAGCTGGGCCGGGCAGCTGCATTATGGGTGTTGCCGACAGCCTTCTTCCTTCTGAGCCGCCGCACCTCCTGGCCCTCCAGGCCTGGGGGCTGACGTGCACACGTCTGGGCTCCTTGTCTGAGGGGCTTTACGGGGAGTCCAGAGTAGACCCCAAATGGTAAGGCTCACACACAGAGGGAACTCAAAGTGAGCCCCAGAGATAAACCACTGCAGGGCCAGTGGGAGGGGTGACAGGCTACAGCAGAGAGCAGAGTGATGGATCTGGAGCCAGAAGTCGGCAAAAGTAAGCGGCAAAGAGCAGGCACCTCCAGGTAAAAGAGTCAGGATGGGGGCTGAGAGGAAGGGTGGTACTCCGGCAGAGTGCAGTCGTCAGTCATGTCACAGATTTCTGATACCCGGGACACCAAGGGAGCCAGCCCTGCAGCCCCTGCTGGACCTGGTATGTGGCACATGGTGTGTGTGGGGGGGACGGTGTGTGGCACGCGTGTGTCGGGGGGTCTAACAAGTTGCAAAGTGATGGATGAGGAAGCTGCAGTACATACACACAGTGGAATAAGCTCAGCCATAAAAAAGAAGTTCTGTTATACATGGCAGCACAGGTAGAGCTTGAGGTGTTACACCAAGTGAGGCCGAGAAAGGCAAGTCCTGTCTGATCTCACCGATACGTGGCATCTTAGGGGAAAATGAGCTCATAGAGACAAAGAAGGGATTGGTGCTCGCCAGAGGCAGGGATGGGGGTGGTGGGTGAGGGAGGGCAAAATGGGTAAAAGAGGTGAAAAGGTACAAGCTCCCAGCTGTAAAATAATAGGTCATGGTAATATAATGTACGGCACGGGGATTATAGCTAATAATACTGCATTCGTAAGGGAGTAGATTTTAAAATTTGTCATCATAAGAAAACCACTTTTGTAAGTATGTATGGACAAATGTTAGCTAGACATTTTGTGATCATTTTGCAATATGCATATACAAATACCAAACCATTCTGTCGTACACCTGAAACTAATAGAACGTTGTAAGTAAATTATACCTTAAAAATAAATAAATGGTGGCTCTTCGATGTTACGTAAGAGGTGTAGCAGCATTTAAGACAACTCACTAGCCAGCCAGCACCCCACCCTGGACTCCAAACCTGTGCTGGCAGAGCGGGCCATCGGAAGTGGGACAGCGGGCTGACCCTGCTGCTATTTTATCAGCCCACCCTGGTTTCTGATGAGCAGCGAACCACTGATTATTGCCACTGATGGTTGCCGTGGCCTATTTGTAGTGGTCTCTGGGGAAGAAGATGCGCAACCTTCTTCACAAACTCATTTCAGCTCCTAAACTTCTTCCAGTCTGAGACTTCTCCTCTGCCCCCAATCCCACGCTCCCACTCAGGAGGGGGTCACCATCCCCTACAGTCCTTTTGTGGGCTGGCAGGCCATTTTAGTTTTTCACAGTCCTGCTTTTTTCTTTTTCCACAGGATGCCCAGATTCACCTTCTTTTCTCTGAAAGGTGGGAACCTCTGGCAAAAGAGCGAGGCATTGGAGCACAGTGACGGCCTGAGACAGACTCCCGGGTGCAGGACTCCATTCTGCCATTTGTGAGCTGGGCCAGTTTGGTCTTGTGGCTTGACTGCCCTGTGCCGCAGCTCCTGATCTCTGTAAGGTAGGTGGGAACAGTGCCCACCATGTATGGTTCTCAAGATTAAGGAAAACCCAGTGTCTTGGCCCTGGTACAAGGTGGCTGTGACTACTACTGCATCAGTCTTGTCTCCCTCCACACACCACAATGACGTCATCCCCATGGTTCACGGTTCGCAGCTGTGTGAGGACTTTCAGAGGCCTCTTCATGGGGACTTTGTTCAGCTCCCAGGTGTGCATGGTGCTTACATACGTGTGGTTGTGTGGAGGTCTTAGAATAACTGTGTTCGGTTGGTTATTACAGTCCTCTTTCTACCATTTTTGACCTCTTTATTTAAATGTTTGTTTTATAGCATGTTTGGAGATTTTATTTATTTATTTTTAGAGAGAGGGGAAGGGAGGGAGAAAGAGAGGGAGAGAAACATCAGTGTGTGGTTGCCTCTCACACACCCCCTACAGGGGACCTGGCCTGCCACTCAGGCATGTGCTTTGACTGGGAATCGAACTGGTGACCCTTTTGTTTGCAGGCCGGTGCTCAATCCACTGAGCAACACCAGCCAGGGCTTGTAACATGTTTTAAAGCAAATAAACTACAAATAGATTTAAATCTTGTTGACAAAGCTCCATTGTGTCCTACAACACTAAGCAAAGGATCTATTTGGGAAAAGAGATGGAGATGTAGACATGGGTCCTGTCCTTACAGGTGATTCGGCAGAGAGCACAGACACACACACACACACACACACACACACACACACACACACACACCCCTTCCATGCCCTGCAGCAGCCTGGCCAGGCCGGGCGTCCAGTGAGGTTCCTACCCTTGGACCCCTGAGGTCTCAGTGAGGTCTGGGGCTTTGCTGCCTGTAGGTTCACCTGGAAGTCAGACAGAGGTTTCTTAACCAGGAACAAGAAGTGGGAAGAGGAAGGGCCTGATGTCAACTGGGCACCTTCTCTGTCCCAGTTCCTGTGTGGTGCACGCATTCCAATCACACATTTTAATCACTTCATTTAGTCCCAGCACGACATTACAGAGCACCATGGTGGACACTGTCCTCGTCACCCAGTCCCCCGTACAGACTGCAGGGCTGTACAGACCTGATTCCCAGGTCTTGGACTTTCCCGGAGAGCCAACTTGCCTAAGGTCAAGCCCTGCATCCAACAAGTGGTCCATGCAGGGCTTTAAAGCCCTGGGCCCCTCCCCCCAGCTGGGGACAGCTCCAGAGCTCTGCATGCAATGCGGCCTGGCTCTGCCTCTCCCTCTGTCCAATCCTACTTTCTTTCCTTCCTCCACAGGTAGCGATCCCAGACACTCTCCACTGTACACTTCCCACATGCTAATCTTTGTATGAGACAATAGAGGTTCAGAGAGGTTACGTATCTTTCCCCAAATCACACAGCTTTTAAGTGACAGGGCTGGCTTCGAACCCACGCACAACATGAACCCCATCTCCCACTCCCCTCTGCCTTGCTGGTCCCCATCAGCCCTTGACTCTTTAATCTCCGTGAAGGAAGCAGGTCTACTTTAGGTTTTGGAAATCCAGTTGAAGGTAGGTCTTAAGTTGCAAAAGATTTTAACCCTTATTCCCTTCCCCCTTGAGAAGTTGTTCCTTCTGCCCAGGAAGTCTCATGCAACTGACCAGCGATGAGAACGGCTGGGTGGTGTCGGAGAAGGGCAAAGGCACACAGGTGCCACCCGGCCACTTACTATTTGTGTGACTTGGCTTTAGTTCTTCCATCTATAAAGTGGAAATAATAGCTCTACTCCAAAATTGTTTTTAGGATAAATGACATGATAAATATTTTTAAAACTATTTAAAAATGTACCAAGTGTTCCAGTTCCATAAGAATGCAGAGACTAGAAAAAGTGACGGTAAGAGGGTGTTTACCACAAAACCCAAGGCCAATTCCATCAGCTCTGCAGTTCGCCTGGCCGACCTTGAGGGTCCAGGGTTTCACAAGACACTGCTGCTGCTCCCAGGGAAACCTCAAACTAGTGTCCATGTCCATCCTAGAGCAGCAATGGGACACGGGGATGAGCACAGGACGAGGTGTAAGCAGACCTGGTTTTCTCAGGAGTGAGCTCTGTTCATGTCACAGGGCTCCTCCCTTCTCCCAGGCAGGTGTGCTCTTCCCTGAAGTAAGGACATTGGACCTCAGACACATGGGATTCTGTAACATCTGGTGCCTTCTTAGGAAAGTGTTCTTTCTCTTCCACCCCACCCCTCCTGCTCACCAACTTGGGCTTCCACCCAGCCTGAGGGGGTGATGTCCTTGCAGACAAGGTCGAAGACAGGGATGGCAGGAAGCAGCGGGAGAAGACTGTCACTCAGAGTTCCTGGAACCCATGGGCAGAAATGAGCCAATGCTGGTGGCTCCCACTGAGATGCCCAACCCTGGCCAGGTGGGTCTGAGTGGTCCCCCATGCAAGTGGCCCGTGTGCTGGCTGGTAGTTCCTTTACACCAAGCCTTACAACACACTCCTGTTTCATCCTGCAGTGCATCTCAGGAGCTGCACCCCGATAGTACAATAAGTCAACGCAAACCTAATTAGGAAAGAGAAAGTACTAGAAAAGGTTTGAGTGAGTGCATGCCAGAGCTACAGAAACACAGTTGTTCAGATAGTCAGTTTACAAAGTTAATGACCACGACGCTTGGCCCTCGGCTGGCCTGCATACCTCGGCACATGGAGTGCCTATGGCTCTCACCTCGCCGGGGGTTGGCAAACCCTGCCTGAAAAGCCCCACCTGAGAGAGACACGCTTCTGGGAAAGAGGGTGAGTGGCTCACCATGGAGGGATGGAAATGTTCCTGTGGGGAAACCTCATCGCCAGCGTGCCGCAGTCAATGGAGGGATGGCTGTTACTCGGCAAGGTTTATGAAGTGATGCTAAGGTTTCAGGAAGAAATACAGAGTGTTGGTGATGTTGAGAAAAATTGGTAGAGTTTTACTATCACTCATTATTCATTCATTCATTTACTAAAAAGTACTTGGTAAGTACCTGCTACATGCAATTTTCTTGGCTGTCAACCAAAAGTGTATGAATCCCCATGTAATTTTGAATTGCTCTTTTAGGAAATTAAGTAGAAAAGTGATCATGAGTAACTTTGTTAGTCAACTTCTAAAGAACCATTTGTGGATTTACTTTGGCACTGGTGTGACCATGGATAACACCTGATATTTTGGATTATCTATGTTGTTCCTGTCCTGTCCACCAGCAGAGATGATATTTATAGGTGATTCTGTTCAGATGCCAGAGGAAGCATATCCCATAGGTGAACCTGAAGTCATTTGCTAGTGTTCGGACTAACTGTCTCGTGCAGAGAGGGCCCAAGGTTCATTGAATGTCGGAACACCACCGATTAGGGCCGAGACATATTCTGGGGTCAGTGTGAATTACTGGGAAAGAGTGCCTTGGGATGCAGGGGGAGGGGTGTTTGGCATCCTGGCTGGTCCATCTTGAAGACTACATGCACCTGTTATCCTTCAGGGCTCCTAGTCATTACCTCCTGAGAAGGCACTCATGCTGAGGTCCAGGCTTCTTCCAGGGTGAAGATCTGAGCTGCAGAGATGAACCACACAGCCAGAGCCACGTACCCAGTCCCTGGAGCCAAACTGTGAGCTATGGCTTCTCACCCTGTCCGTGGAGTCAGCCAAGGGAGAGGCTCTGCCCTCCCAACAGAGAGCAGGGTCGGGCACGGAGCAGGCTGGATGAGCCCTGTGGGCCATTCCGCTGGGACTTGAGATCTGTCCCCTCATCTGGCCAGGAGCCAATTGCAGAAATGTAGCTCCTTATGACTTTGCTCCAAAGACAGCTGTGTGCCTCACCTCACGTCTGCACAATGACCCAGCAGTTGTTCCTGCTTCGTGGAACACAGGCCAGGCAACCCCTGCAAGGTCCCGTGGGGACGTTCCTGGTCTGGCTGGCAGACAGCTGGCGGGCAGGCAAAGCTTCCTCAGTGCTTGCCTGAAGGAACTGAGGACAATCCAATTTTTCTTCCCTGCTTCAAGTCATCCTTATCACCCCCGCTCTGTGCTCAGGGCCTTGCAGGACAACCACAGCCAGGCCTACTGGACACTGACCCTGCCATTCCCCGGAGGTGGACTGGCCCAGCCCTGATTCCCACTGTTGGACTGAATCCCTAAAACCACTAAATTCTGGTGTATGAACGCTGGACACAACCTTAAGTATCTTGAAGACAATCTTACCATCATGCAAAGGAGGAAACTCACTTTGAGTGTACCCAAGGACACGCAGCTGGCAGGGCAGGGCTGAGCTGACTCCCAGGGCTGGTCATGGCCAAACGCCACTCACGTGTGATCCTCCCTAATCCCTGCAAGACATTCAACCCACAGCAATCGGAGCCCCATGACCTTCTCAGGCCTCACTCCAGTATATTAACTCTCAATTTTGTGGTGTTAGCACCAGCCTCCCATTGAAGTTCCAGACCTATTTTTTCAGATATGTAAAGATTCCTCAGAGGCATCCTGGTGGAGCTCCATTGCCTCCCTCTCCCCTGACCCCAAACTGTCATCTGTGTTCCCACCTCTAGCCATCACCGTGTTCTTGCTGTAGATCCATACCACGGCCAAGCCAGGTAGCCACAGGGGAAGCTGCTCTGGGGCTGTACCTCAGACATAGATGTGCACGTGGTCGCTGGGGTGACTGGCTTCCCCTGGTCGACTCTCAGGGAATAGGCAGGAGGCTAGGACATCTGGCAAATCTGCCTCATTTGGTCTTAGCTCTTCATATCCGGGGACGGAAGACCCTTTCTCCTCAGTGGCTCAGTCTAAGAGAAGTGTAAGAACCCAGTTTTTCCCAAGTGTGAAGTGAAACCTGCTTCTCTGTAAAGCCCGTAGTACTAACCGACTTTGCTTAACAGCCTTGCCAGTGTCCACACTGGCCCCCAGGCCCCCGGGCCCCCAGACGGCACACCTTCTTTCTCTGGTTGAAAAATCTCCGGGGCCTGCCACTTGCAACGCCTGATCCTCAGACCACCCAGATACACGCCCTGGTGGTGCTCCCAGAGGTGGAACCCCACACTTGGAGCGGAGTGCAGGGGGGCCTGGATAGAGAACTGCCCGTCGTTCCTGTGTCCCGGCATGAGGTCGTGCCCACGTCTGGGCAGCCACGCCCCCAGGACCTCCTCCCAGTTCCTCCGTGAAGAGGGGCCCAGTTTCCACAGCAGCGTCTCCTCTCCACCCTGGGCCACAACACCTGCCTTGTCTCCTCCCTCTCTACAATTTTCTCAGAGTCCTTCTCAAACCCCTGCTCCTCCTCGGGGTCTGCTCTGCCTGCTCCTGGAAGGGGAGTTGCACGGACTGGGGCTGGGCAGAGGGGGGAGAGTCTGCTGCTCCTCAACATTATCTGCAAAGCGAGGAGCCTGAGCTGGGTGGGCTAGGGTCTCCCCTCCCTCACGTCATATCACGCAGTTGCCATCTGGGTTAACTTCATCTCAACTTCTGGTTTACCTTTCTCCTGGATGGTGAGATCCACTCCACTCAGGACTTGTTTAATAAATAAACACTTGGTCATTAGGTTGAATTGATGATGCACAGTGAGGACTGGAGTGGACCGGGGAAGGTAGGTGTGGATAGGAATGGGCAGTCCTATCCAAAACAGACGAGGGGGGCTTTCCTGGGAAGTGACTCATGTGGGTGCAGGGCCGGTGGGAGTGGGTGGGAAGGGAGAGACAGCACTCTGAGGGAAAGAGGCACTGAGGTTAATATGCTCCTACTTCCTACAGGGTCTAGGGTTTGGGCAGAGATCAAAAAGAAAAGGACTGGAGGACAGTGGGGTACAAGTGTTTGGCCGGGAGCTCAGGACCAGAGCTTGCGAGCTGCCCACATTCAAGCTCTGAGCTTCAGTTCTCTCATCTGCAAATGAGGGACCTGAAGCCTCAAAGTGTGGCTGAGCTTGTTAGGAATGCAGAGTCCCAGGCTCACCCTGGGGGCTGAGCCAGCCTTTCACCAGCTCCCCAGGTGATGCTGTGCATGCTGAAGAGTGACAAGCTCTTTGAGGTTCCAGAGCTGACGCCGTCACACCGGAGTGTCAAACTGGGCCGCATCTCACAACAGCAGAGGAGACTTTAAAACCTCCCGTTCACGGGTCTCTCTGGGATGACAGATTATGTTGTATCTCCACTGGGGCAGTCATTGTAGAGATGTATATATTTGTCAAAACTCATGAACTGTATGCTTTGCAAGGACGCATTTTAGTATATTTGTATTATTGCTCAATAAAGTTGATTTAAAAGAACACTATCCCTAACCCTGAATCATTTCCCTGGAGTAAAGCTGTAAAAGGAGGAACGTGTGCCCGAGGACGTCAACAATGTCTTACATCACGGTCCGTTCCTCCCCCGCAGAAGGGCTGCGCTCCTGCGTAAAGGAGGGTCCGCACGTGTTCTGAGTGTACGAACCAGTGTTTCCTCTCGGCCTGTCAGTATCCTCCCAGCTGTGTCTCTCTCTCACACACAGTCCCAATGCTACAGTCCATACCACTCGGGTCAAACCTTCCGGGTATTGTAAGCCTCTCCTGGTAATTCTAGTGCACGGCAGGGCTGAGGGCCCGCAGCAACCACTTCCTCGGGAGCCGTCAGGATCCCGAGTGCCCAGCCAAGTGCAGAGGGCAGAGGGCAGAGGGCAGAGGGCAGAGAAATAGTATGTGACACAGTATGTCCCTGAGTGACTTACGTTGTGGTTGGGAACACAAGGCAGGGGCTGGCATGACAGGAAGTTAAATTACAACTGAGGAAGGGCCACTCCCACAGCTAGAAGAGCCCTCATCACCCACAGAGTGGCCAGGGCTGCGCTGCCCACTAGGTCGCAGACACTCACCTCGCAGGTAACTTCTGAGAGCCCCCTCTGCATTCCCACCCACCCCTTCTGAAGCAGAGACTCAGAGAGGTTACCCAGCTTCCCCAGGTCACACAGCTAGGAAGGGAAGAGGGAGGCCCGGCTCCACAAACGGCCACATGCCTGTCATCAGATGGCAGGCTGGCCGCGCTCCAACCTTAATGATTTGCCAGAGCCAATTAATTGCTAACCTGTGAGGTGCTTCCACTGGGGTCAGGGGATCAGAACAATGACCTGGATAGTGGTGTGTACATCAGGGTGTCGCTGGGTCACATGCACCCTGCATTGAAATGGGGCCAACTGGAGGGTGCAGCAGTCTTGGTGCCTCCTCGGGAGGACCCACAATGGGTGCAGGGAATAATTCATCTTGGGGGTCAGGGCAGTCCCGCACCCCTCCTCCTTTGCCCGGGCAACGTAGGACGTCAGACAACACTGCGGAGGCCTCATTATTGGGCTGCACAACCATTGTCCTGGGGACAATGGTTTCCGGCCCTGGCTTTGTGTGGGGCTGCCAGCCAAAGTTATTAACCCCAGGAGTTGCCTTTGAAGGACATCCAAGGGAGGGGTGAAAGGTCACCAGGAGCAGTACAGGGAGCGGAAGTGGGAGGGAGAGACAGCACAAAAGAGAGGGATGAGCCCCAGTGCCCCTCCTCCTCCTCCCCTGGGGAACCCCAAACAGAGCTGGGCCCAGAGAGGGGGATGTCCAGAGGAAGTTCCCACTGCTACTGCAGAACAGAGAGGAGCGGGGCAAGGCTGACCATCCTGACGGGCCTCCGAGACGTGCGCACAGATGGGGACGTGGGCTGCCTATGGAGAGGGCTGACTGTCAGGGGAGAAGGTGTCGGGGCTGGGCCTGGAGCTCCTCTACTCAGTCCGCGAATTCCTCAAATAGGCATCTGCCATCCAGGACCCCGATATTCCTGCCACCTGCCTGTCGCCTGCCCCCCATGGAAGCAAGTGAGAGGGACCAGGACTTGCTGGCTGTGGTGGGGAAGGCTGCCCCTTCCTGGCACTGCCCAGGTTAACCTCCAGTCTCCTGGGTTTCCACGGGGATCCCAGCTTCCTGAATAATGCCAAAAAGGCATGGCCCCCTAAGATGCCAGGCCCCTGAAAAGGCAGCCTTATCCTGCCTCTGGAAGGAGAGGAAAGCAGTGTCATTTCTAGAGCAGCGACCACCTGTGCCAGGCTGGCTTCCTGCTCCGTCCACCCAGCAAAAGGACACCCGGACTGGAACTTGCACACAGAGCAGAACCAGAAGGTCCAGAGCTCTAGGTCACAAGGCCCAAGGAGGCCATGGTTCATCCAAGGTCAGAGCGCTGGTCTCCTTCTCAAGGCCTCTCTCTGGCCAGCATCCCTCCGTTCTCCCCGCTGCGTGTGCCCCACCACAGTGCCCTCCTGGTCCTGCCCCTGCCTGGTCAGCATCTCTCCGGACTTCCTCCTCCCCAGCTCCTGACTCCAGACTTCTGCACAGTGTCTTCCCCTCAGGCCACTGAGGCCAGGTAGCTTGATACCCAGTCCTGCCTCTATCCCCCCCGACCACCCCCCCAGCCCAAGGAAGCCCAGCACAACCACACCTGCTCTCCCCTTCCTTAACCCTCACTCACGGCCTTCTAGACACCCTCCTGAGCTCTGCTGATTTTTGTGCCATCCCTCCCTGCCCTGGTCTTGGGGCTCCTCCTGGCCAGGTGAAGGCTGCCTGGTGGCCTCAGTGGGATAAACAGCCAGGGGTAGGAAGGCCTTTGTCTTAAACTCATAGAGAATAGATCAAACGAAGGTAAAAGTGGAGTCTCCCCGCTCGTTCTCCCTCCCTCTCTCTCTATGAGCATATGGATCTCTTACATAGACAGATACTTTCACAGACACACACACACACACCCGCATCAAGACCCCACAAATGTTGCCCATTTCCCGCCGTCATTCTGGCCATCCCCCTTGTCTCTCCAAAGCCAAGGACACTAGTTCCCTGCCCTCTGCCTTCAATTTCCTGTCCCTAAAACCCCAAATACGGCAACTCTGACCTGAACCATGCAGCCTCTGCAAACTGCAGCAGAAGATAGAAGAGGCGTTTGTGCTCTGGTCAGCGTGCTCCAGCCGGTCAGCCAGCACCCTGACCCCTTGGGCACCAATATCAGGTGGTGAAGTGTCGTCCCCCCCCCCGCCCGGGGGGGCTCAGCGCCTGAGTCCAGGGCCTGTCCCAGGCCCGCTTTGGCCCTCTCTTCACTAATGCCCAAAGGCCAAACTTTTCAGAATTTGGCAACAGATTAAAAGCCAAGCCAATGACAACAGGAGGAGATGAGGGGAGAGGAAAGCAAATGAAATGTTAAAAAAAATTAAGCAATACTTGCATTCTCATTAGTAGGAACATGTGAGATGAAGCACGTTATGTTATTAGGCATTCTCGCGTTTCAGTAAACACAGCTGAATAAATTTATAAATATCAGCATTAAGCGAGATTTAACGTGAAGCTGTTTATCTTCTGGCTGTCAGGCAGGAGGGGATGCTCCCCCCCACGTGTCACCCGCCAGCAGTCTCCGGACCTGGCCCAGGTGAGCTCCCCCGGAGGGAGGGGCTGCTGAGCAGGCCTGGGCGGAGCGAGTCTCTGCCCCAGGTCCCCCTGCAGCAAGGTGAGGGTCTGGGTGACTCAAGGACACTATTTAACCTCTCCAGTGAAAACTTAACTGCAACTAAGAAGCCCTCGCCCCACTCAGAAGGCCGCACAGAGGATCTCAGGAGCCACTGCAACTGCCGGGCTCGGCTCGTAAGAGGCGCAGATCTGAACAGCTCCTGCTTCCTCATCTCCAGAGCCGGGCACTGCAGCCGTGATGGAAAGAAGATGGGTTGCAAGCAAAGGGAGTGATGACAAGGCAGCCACGGGGGCACCTGGACACGGGGAGCCTGGCGTGCTCCCTGCTGTGCTGTGAACGCGGACAGGTGGAACTATGTTTCCGTGAGCCCCTCGTGCCAAACCTCAGTCTCCCCCATTTTGTCCTTATGGCCCTCTGACTCCGGAGCCTATGTGACAGTGCCCAGTGAGGCTACATGCAGTGAGTGAGGACCAAGTGTCAAAGAACAAGGACTCTGGGGCCAAAGACTTCATTTACAGGGGAGGCCTGAACACTGGGGCGATGGGACCCTTTGCGATGCCTGCTGCCGCCTCTCACTTGCCCGGGCCCCACCGCGGCCTGGACCTCTGTTCCAAAGGCTCTCACTCGCGGGCCACGTGGCATCTCCTGCAGCCGGCAGGTCCCTGTGCCTGGACCTCGGCCAGCACTGGGCACCCATCTCACACACACACACACATGAATAAAATAGATTAAATTAAATATAAGGCAAAATAAAACCTGTGATCCTGGTCTGTATAAACTGTTGTCTAGACAAGGCATCATACAGGCCCCAGTAAAAGGTCACATCGATACCAGGGTGGGCAAAAGGAGGAGTAGAGTTGTGACTTTGCGAAACACAGAGTTTATTCTTGTGTTGCTATTCATTAATTACTGTATTGTTTAGTTGTACTACCACTGTAAACCCATTTTCCCACCCCTGTATGAGACTGACGCCGGTTTTCCGCCCAACACGGCTCCCTTTGCTGAAAGAGGCCGTTAGGTCCCAACAGAGCCCCTGCGGACCGAGCACCCTCGGCCGCCCTGACTCTCCTCGGCCGCCCTGACTCTCCTCGTCTCCCCCTCCCTTTGCAGAGCCCTCCAGATGCCAAGGACCCACCCAGGACAATATCCCTGAAGGTTTCCCAAGGTGCTTTGGCCCCAGGCAGCATTTCCACGGCACTGTGGGTGGATGTCACAGGATGAAATGTGCAACAGGCCTGCCCCCCACACACACACACTGTGGGCTGGTGAGCTCACGGAGGTCCCCTCTGCCTGTCCCAGGAACTGCCATGGAGCCTCATGCTGCCCTTTCTAAGAAAAAGTGAATAAAGGAGGATGGCATGTGGGGGACCACGCAGGAAAGGCCTGGGGACGTCTCCCAAGGTCTCAGAATGGCTGCCTCCTTGTCGATGAAATGAAGGGTGGAAGCAGGGCATCTCTGCGGTCCACTCCAGCCTGAATCTTAAACATTGCCGTTATTATGCTCTCTGGCTGTGCAGGGAATGGGGTTCTGGGAGCTGAGCTGCAGAGAAGCGGCGTCAACTGCTTATTTACAGATCCTTGAGTGCAAGTGTATTGGGTTTTATGGCTGAGATAAGCACCCCGGCAAATTCCATCATACCGCCACTTTCCTGGGAAGCCAGCTATGTGCGAGGCACTCTACCAGGGGCTCTGAAAGGAGTGCAGAAGTAAAGCGGAAATCTTATGTCCACGCCGAGTGCCATGTGAGACAGGAATGCTGGGCCACATTGGGTCTGACACTAAGCTGTCTGCTACTTACGCCTTTGCTGTTGCTGCCTTGAGGGTCTCAGCCAGCAGAGGCAGGAGTGGCCCAGACTCCCCCTGGCCGCCGCAGCCTGTGCCTGAAGATGAGGCCATGGCAATAGCAACAAGGCCCATGTCACTGGGTTCCACCTGCTCTAGTGGGTGCCTGTCCAGTTTCAAAGTGCCACAGTATTTTTGGACATCTGGGTGTGTGTGTGTGTGTGCGTGCTACAATTCTGGTATGTTATCTTCGAGGCTCCTGTGGTTTCCAAGTGGCAATGCTCGCCTTGAGCTTGGGAGACAGGCAAGTGGGAAAGAGATATTTGTTATGTACTCAGACGACAGCACTGAAGTGTGGAGGTTGGGAGTTGGCCAGAGGAGAGGCTGTTGGAAGCAAAGAATATGAGCAAGTCCCCAGGATTCAGACACACCTTAGACTGGAGATGGGGGGAGAAGGAAAAGTCGGAGCAGAAGGCACACCTGGAACAATCTGGGAGCTGGAAGAACAGCAGGTGTACACAACGACCTGGATGTCGGGTTAGCCAAGGGAAGGAAGGAAAAGGTGACCATAGCAAACACTGCAGGGCAGACACAAGGATAGAGACTGAGAAAAGCCACTGAATTTGGCAGCAAGCTGTGGGCAGAAACCTGGCTACAAGAAGCCAGGGAGTGAACTGGCGGTAAGAACATTAACACAGCGCTGTGGGCTGAATTGTGTCCCCAAAAATGCATGTTGAAGTCCTAATCCCTGCTACCCCTGGGCGTGACCTTAATAGGAAATGGAGTATTTACAGATGTAATCAGTTAGGTGCAGTCACTAGGATGGGCCTTTGATGCAATCATTTCAGAGCTGGATACTGGAAGTCACTTTCTTGAGCCTTTCACTGTAAAGGTGAGGCAACAAAGGCCTGCAGAGGAATTAGGGATGAGCAACAAATTTACAACACTGGTTAGTGGAGGGGTCCTTTTTCAGGAGCTAGTATTTTGTGATTTGTGTGTGTGAGTTTAGGAACAGTGTAAGCATGAGGGCAAAACCTTACCTTTGTTACCCATATCCTTGGGAAATCACCTGAGTGCAAGGTGAACACTTCTCCCCCTGGTGGCACCTATCTGAATTACAGGCAGAGTCCTGCCATGGAAAGAACCCAGGAGACCCTGGGGAGCCAAGAACAAGTGCCCACACCTCCTTCATGGCCCGGACCAGCTATTCAGCGACTGGTTTTTTCTTTGTCTTAGTCCCCAGGGACTTGGGATGTTAGTTGCCCGTTCCCCTCCCTATTTCCCACTCTGTGCTCCCCCGCTCCCCTAGCTCACTTTCCTGTGACAAATATAGTAACTAGGAAAAAAGTTACAAGCAAAACTTGTGAAACTTGACCAGTACTGGTTCTGGCCTCTACTTCTTTGAAGACTGTGAGTGGAAGGACCGGCCCACAGACATGAAACGCAGGACCAACTTTTTCTTTGACTTGGAGAGGTGGGTCTCATCAGCCTCACCTGCTGCTCGTCCCCCCCCCCCCCGCCATTCTTCCTGGCTCTTCTTTCCCTGTGACTTCTTCCCCAGGGTGACCCCTTGTCTCAGCCAGAATGTCAGCCAAGGCAGAATAAAGCACCAACTGGACTCCGAGGGACGTCCTGCTGTCCCCAGGCCAGCTGCCGGGAGGATCCCCTCCGGGGATTGATGAAGGTCACGCCTACAATGCCAAGAATGAATTGATGTGCACTCACCAAGCCTCAGTGTCAGTGTTAGAGGCAGGTTTAAAGCCTGAAGCAGTCAGTTTAGGACAAAAAAGACAGAAGAAGAAATTTTACTCTCTGCTCCGGTGAAGAAAACATTTTTCAAGCAGTCTGCTGACAAAACACTCTTATGGCCAAGATCAGAACTTCTCCGGGCCGACAGGAGACTGGGTCTAATACCAGTTACCAATTGCCATGGGACAAATTACCACAAACTCAGCACTGAGAACAACAGACATGTGATATCTGGCACAGTTGCCGAAGATCAGGAATCCAGGAGCTCCATCGCTGGTGGTTCTGGCTCAGGGGTTCTCACGAGGTTACAGGCAGCTGTCAGCCAGGCCTGTGGTCATCTGAAGGCTTGACTGCGCTGGACAATCCACATCTGAAATGTCTCCCTCGTACATTTGTTGAATAGAAGCCTCTCAGATCTTTGTAACATGGGCTTCTCCATGGGGATGACTGAGCGTCCTCATGACATGGCAGCTGGCTTCCTCTAGGACAAGTAACCCAAGAGGCAGCAGGACAGAAGGCTTGTCTTATAACCTCGCCTTGAAAGTGACATGTCACTTCCGCCGTACTCCAGTGGTCACATAGACCAACCCCAATGTAATGCGGGAGGCGAGTACACAAGGGCACGAATATGAGGAGGCAGGGGTTATTTGGTCACCAACTTCGAGGCTGACTACATTTGAGGCGGTGAACTGAATGGAACTTGTCACTCCAGTGTATGGACTAGAACTAAAACTAGAATTACCAATGAATACTGTTGATCAGTGGTTCATCAAAGTCCTTCTCTAAGTAAGGCACAACAACTCTGCAGTTTTTAAAGCAAATGCTTTTTCTGGGAAGAGTACGATGACATCAACCCAAAGGCCCAGCACCAACAGCAAACACCGGGCAATCTCCAGGAGAGCAAAGCCTGGAGGTGCAGGGGTCTTGCCCAGGCTTCACTTGCCTTTCGGATGGTCTTCCCCCACCCCGCTAGTCTCTGGAATCGGAGGGTCTGGGTTTCAATCCTGGGTTCCAATCCTGACCCCAACACGCAGTAGTTCAGTGACCTCAGGTACTTAGCCCATCAGAGCCTCACTTTGCTCTGATGAAACAGATCAGCCCTAACCTTATTAATTGCTCATGAGGATGATAGAGATAATGCTATTGAGAAGCGTTCTGCGGGTGCTAGTTACTGCTACTGTCCATGGCTGTCTCCCGACCTCCCTCCATCCTGCAGAGCACCCATGGCAAAGGAGATGGAGAAGGGAGGGCTCACTCCATTCTGGGGTTTGTGGCTGAGCAAATGCTAATGAAAGGCTTCCATCCTCCATTTGGCAGGAAAGGGAATGAGCTACTAAAAACACTTCTCTCCCTGGCTGGTGTGGCTCAGTGGATTGAGTGCTGGCCTGTAGAACCGAGGGCTTATTGATTTGATTCCATTCAGGGCACATGCCTGGGCTGCAGGCCAGGTCCCCAGTTGGGGTCCTGAGAGAGGCAGCCGACTGGTGTTTCTCTTGCACATTGATGTTTCTCTCCCTCTCTTTCTCCCTCCTTTTTTTTCTCTCTAAAAAGAAATAAATAAAATCTTTTTTAAAAAACCCACACATCTCAACACAAGTCCTGAGCTTACTTATCTTCTCCTGGGCCTACAGTAGTGTTAACTGAATGTCTGGACCCTGAGGGGTCCTAATTCCAGAGGTTTCACATAATCAACTGCGAGGGCGTGTTGCTGGCTTTCCCCTATAGTTCTGCAGGAGGGGCTGACACCACACAACCCTGGTGCTGACACTTGGGAAGAATACAGGACACGGCAGTGGATAAGGGGCCTGAACCCCTTCCATATTGGGTCTATATCTCTTTCCTCCTCTGTCTTAACATGGATGGCTGAGTCTAGTTCTGAGCCCATTCATATATTCATCATCCACTTGTTCATTCTTTATTGGTTGTCCACTCTGCACCAGACACTGCATGGATGAAATCACAGTAACCCTAGTATCCCACCCCATGGAGCCCATCTCCCAGTGTAAGGATATGAAAAGGAGTTTAGAGAAAGGAAGAGTTAAACTAGTTCATAGAGATCTGGAGGTGGGCCTTGGGAATTAACCTGGGAAAAGGGACAACAACATAAGCAGAGATAAAACTCTCTCTGCACCTCCTCTTCCTCACCTGTAAGAACTAGGCTGTTGGTTTTGTTCTAGTCTCCTTGGCCTTGAGACACCGGGGCAGCTGGCGGGGTGGGTATTGGCCTGGCGATGGGTGGGTGGGGCACTGAGCAGGCTGTGGGAGGTCCTGGAGAAAACTCCAGGTCTGCTGAGGAGGCTGGACCCAGGAGATCGAGGTGACTGTGGGATCAGAAGCCAAGGTCCTGCTCTAGAGTCTCCCGGTCTGTCTCATCTTCTAGCTAGATCATGAGCACCTGGAAGGGAAAGAGTCTGGTCTCGCCAAGGTGCACCCTTCCTCTCCTTCTGAGCAAGACTGGGTGGGCCCCAGAGACCAGTTGGCCTGTGTTTAGAACATCCTTACGACCTTTGTGAATCTGCCCCATTTTTCCAGCAACAGAATCTTCTTTTTAACACTAACAAGGGTCTGGTATGATTGGCAGTTTGCATCCTGCCTTCCTGTGAACCCCTTCAGGTGCATTCTTACTGACGTCACGGTTCTTTGTGTACTCGCCAACATGCAACACCGTTTCTCCGGTCAGGCCTTAGTTCTTCCCAGGCAGGACTCGTGACTCGTTCTGAGATACCACAGGAACTCAGTCCAGTGTACAGCAAACAAAGGTCATTGGAAAACACCCGCCATCCTCATGGATTCAGATGCTTGCAGAGGACTGGCTTTGCAGGACCAATGGCGATGTGTCTGTAACATGCTTCCTAAAGGGGGTCTGGGGACTCAAGGAGGGTCAAGGAGGTGGGGCAAAGAGGCTCAAGACCCAGCAGCTTGACCACAGCTCAGGGATGGAGTGGTAGGGGTGGAGGGGAGAGGAAACTGGGATGCATGGGGATGAGGCGCTCCAGGACCTCAGCACGGGCTCTGCGCGGCTATCCTGGGATGCTGCACGACCACGCTCAGTGAACCACCTGGTTCGTTCTGAAATGAGGCTGTCTAAAGAAAAGAATCCCATGCAAATGAAGACTAAATGCTTTTAATTAAAGGAAGGAGCCTGGAGACCAGCTGGTGCGAGGAGGGAACTGGAGCAGGTCGAGCTGTGCTGCCAGGAGGGATAAGCCGCTGGACCAAAGGGCTCACCCTTTCCTCCTGGCCCTAATGAGACACCAGTCCTCCTGCCCACCCGCCATCATGCTGGGGGTGAAGCCTAGTGCAGGGAGAAAGGAAGGCCCTTCTGTGCTTTGGAATAGCTCTGACATGGCAGATTGGCCCAGCAATCTGCGGACCCAACTCCCAAGGTAACAGCCAGGGGAAGCTTTTAGAACCCAAATTATTTTATCTTATCATCGGAGCCTGTAACCAGCCCTGTGCCCCGAGCTTTAATTATCTTATCTCATTTAATCCTCATGCAGCCCCGGAAATTATCTCCCTCTCCCAGGTGAGGCTCCAAGGCTAAGTCTAATGGCACAGCAGAGCCTCCAAGACCATCCAGCTCCGCAGCTCAAGGTCTCAGGCCTTTTGTTCAGAGATATGGGTACCAGGATGGCGCCTGGTGGGAATGGCGTGCATGCAGCCCTGGGACAGCGCCTGTGACTGGTGCTCAATACTCGTCAAGGCCCTCCCTGGCCCAGACTTCCCTTCACTTGGCGGTAGTGGAGGTTGGTTCCCCTGGAGGACAACTCTGGGAAGACAAAACTTGGGGCACAGAAATCCCCTGTCGGGCCCCAAAGGCCAGGCTAACAGGCATGAGCACTGGGTGTCGGGGTCCTGGCTTCCTGACCAGCTTTTCTGCAGCAGGCGAGGTGGAGAACGTGAGTGCTGTTTACCGTCTCCCTCACTCTTGATGGAAAGGTGGAGTGAGGATGCTGGCAAAGCAGAGGCAGACCTCTGAACCCGTAACAAGTCCCCTGGGCCCAGGTGGTCTGCTTTACCTCGAAGCACCACGTCACCTTGAGGTCCGTGATTCAGATGCTCCTCCTCTTTGGGTCTACCGCACACCAGGCACTCGAGACCTTGCAGTGCACCCAGCAAAGAAATGCTCCTTACCCACCTGCCCATTGAAACCAGGATGGCTGTGGCCAGCAGGCTGAATGCCACCTCACTGTGTCATCTCCATTAGAGTCACCGGTCATGACCACGAAAGCAACCCAAGCAGAGCACTCCCTTACAGTCACCGAATGGCCTGTGGAGTGAAACCCACCAGTGAGCTTTGCCTGGGGGTCTTCCATGTGCAAAGCCCCTTGTGACTCTTCACTCCTGAAAAGACAGTGAGAGAAGCACTCATGTTGTGCGGGACGCTGTTTCGTGTGTGATCATCCACCCTCCGGTATGACAGACATCTTCATCCTTGTTTCATAGATGAGGACATAAGGCTCAGAGAGGTCAGGTGGCCCGGGGCCACTCGGTTTCAGGTGAGAAGGCTGGGACAGTCTCCCTGACACCTTAATCCGACCTCTGCCCCTGTCCCGTGCCCTCTGAGACTGGAAGGGCCACCCGAAGTTCAGTGGCCACATCCTCGCCTCACGGCCTGTGGAGGACCGGTCCCGTGAAAGAAGATCCCCCTCCCGGAGTGGACTCAGTGAATTCCTGGACCTGGCCGTGACAGGAGGAGAGCCTTGGATTGTAAAAGCATCAGAGTCAACGATCCACAGCCTTCACCGCCTGAAGCAGATTTGGAGGACAGTGCCTGACGTCCCAGTGTCACCAACAGTCGAGCAGCAGTGCTCTTCTCAGGGTCTGCCTCTTCGTGGGCCTGATGCCGAGGTGGGCTCACGGCCTCTCCTTCTCCCACCTACTTGTCCCTGGGTCTCAGAGCAGGCCCCTCTTCCCCAGGGCCACTGGACAGCACCCTCCCTGGTGTGGGGCCCCAGCGAGTCAGGGTTCCGACAAGGTCTGGCAGTGATGGAGTGGGCGTGGCTTGGCAAGGGAACCTGTGTGTTGAGCACAATGACCTGATTGTGCGGCTTGTCCAACTCAGCAGTGCTCAGGTGGTCACATGGCCCCCGGCAGCAGGCGCTGTGACCTTTGCCCAGAGTTCTGGGACCTTCGGTGGCAGGACTGAGTGCCAAAGAGGAGAGGGGAGGTCTGGCTGTCTCATGCTGCCCTGGGACCCGGGCAGCCACTCCCTCTGTACCTCTTCCCGACCCTGGTCAGGATCTGAGCCCGCCTCCTCCCCAGATGCTATCAGAGGCTCCTCGGCTGCCCAGAACAAAGAAGAGGCATGCAGACACCATCCCCAGGTAAATGCAAAGGCTACTGAGTTTCTGCTTCAACCACCAGCTACCAGAAACCAATGAGGAGTATGCACAGCTGAGACTTTGGCCCAGTGTGTGCCCAGTGCCGGGATGCATGCTGTCACAGCGAGGTCATCGAGTTGTCCCTGCCACTCACATTCCTTCCAACAGACATCAGTCGGGCCCTGCAAGAGTTTCCTGAGCACTTCCGGTGTGCCAGGCACAGCGCTAGGCATAGAGGACACAGCAGGGACCCCTTTACTTGCATTCGGGGAGACAGGTGGTAAACAAGTAAGTGACTTGTATGACATGTCAGAAGGTGGAGAGAAATAAGCCGAGTACAGGGGACAGGGCTGCAGCAGTGGGGCTGGAGGTTCTCTGAGAAGGTGAGTTGAGCCAACACTTGGAGGTGAAGGGCGAGCACCAAGCTAATGGGGAAGGAGCAGCAGCATAAAGGCCCAGAGCAGAAACAAGCCTGGTGCACCTGAGGACAGCAGAGGCCAGTGTGGCTGGGGCAGAACAAAGAGGGAAGAGGAAGGAGAGGGGAAGGGCAAGGGAAGTGAGCGGTGTGGGCGAGGGAGCAGGACTCGGGAGGCAATGGGAGAAATCCCCGTGCTCCGGCGTGCTCTAGGCAGCCTGAGAGTGAACTGGACTATCTCCGAGTTTCGCACCTGCTCTAACACATAGAACAATGCATTGCATTACACATACTATTCTGCATTATTATATAGAAGACATAATAACAATGTGTGGGAATACACACACACACTGACAAATGCATGAAATGGGATAATGGACACAACAGCATTTATTCACCGTGAAGAGGTATATCAGTCTACAGCACCGTTTCAGCCTACAGGGTTTCAAAGAGCTTTCACACCCAGGAGTGCACAGGAGCCAACCCATGGGGATTAAGAAGGAAGCTGTCCTTCAGCACTTTGTGTGGAAAATGAGAAAACACGGTGTGGAGATGGTCTTTGCTGCGCTGTGACCGGAAGGCCAGGGTGCTGTCCACCTTCTGCATCCCACCTGGACAGAGGCAGGAACTCCAGGGCCCAGGTGTGGTGCGTGACCTCCTCACGGTCCTGAGCCTGGGGCCCCACCCTGCTGACTCTCAGCCAAGACTTTTCCACTGCCCTCTATGGAGGCAGGTATGTCTTGGGTGACTTTCTGCCCCTTCTTCCTCCTGGTCAGCCTTTCTCTGCTGCTCAGCCTCAGGGCTGCTATCCGTGTTTAGACTGGGGTGGGACTTGAAATCTAAACCGTGGGCAAGTTTAGGCCCCGCCTCCTCCCCACCCTGTCAGCCCAGCTGTGCAGTCTGGGTCCTGGACCGGCACCTCCCTCCCATTGTCTGGTCTGACACAATCAGACGGGAACTTCTCCTGGGCTGCTGGGAGGAGAGCCAGACCTGCCTGCAGTGGCTGCCACTTTGGGGGGCCCAAGCTCTGAGCCCTCCAGAGGGCAGAGCAGGGCCAGCGCTTAAACTGGATCTGGTTCACACAGCACTGCATCCTTTCAATACCAGACTGATGACGATGCTGGCAGTCCATGGCTGGCTCTGACCACCTTCCCACCACCCCATGGCCACCATTGCTTCTCCTACCCCCAGCCCTCCCATCAGCCCTCAGGGAATTATGGGAACACAGCCTGCCCAGCTGCAACCCATTCTCCACACTGTAGCCAAGAAAACTTTCTAAAGCATGAGTCTGGTCATTCCTTTCCCCTGATAAAATCCTTTTACACACTCCCCTTTGCTTTTTAGGGTAAAGTCCAGAGTCCTCAACGTGCCTACAAGAACACTGGAATCTAACCCTGCACGCTCTCCCAGCCCCAACTCTCCGCCCCCCACCATACCTGCGCACACGCACATGTGCGTGCATGGACACACACACACATACCCTGTAACTGCCCTGCCGTGAACTCAGTTCCCTAAATGTGCTTGGTGCTCCCTGGCCACTGGACCTTCACGTGCGGTCTTTCCCCCAGACCAGAGTGTTCTGTATTCACCTCCTCCCAGCCCTCTGTCCACCCGGCTAGTTCCGCCTCTTCCTTCTGGCCTCTGCTTTGAGGTCCCATCTCAACAGCCAAGACTGTGAGGTGCCCAGCTCTGTGAGGTCAGGGACACACCTCCCGCTGGCCACAGCAGCCCCAACACACACCCCTGTGAGGGCTTGTCTGTTTCAGGATGACATGACTGTTTTGGTCACCACTGTGTCCCCAGGTCCTGGCAGAGTGCCCAGCGCTTAGTAGATGCTCAGCAAATGTTTGTACAGTGACACACACAGAACGGAAGGGAGGGAAGGCGGGAGTGAGGGGAAGGGGGAGGAGAGAAGGACTGTCCCAGTGAGGAGGCCCTGGCACATGGCACAGTCGTAATTGTCCAAAGTCATCGTCCCTCATGTTCCTCCGTTTCCTAACAGTTTACAAATCCCTTCCATACCACCCTGCTGATAGGTGTGAATAACATATGACTTTTTTAAAACGGAAGAACCTGAGGATCAGAGTGGGTGAGTGGCTTTCCGGAGGTCACACAGCTCAGAGCCAGGTCTCTCTGACTTTGAGCTCACAGCTTCTCAGGTTCTGGAACCGAGACTGAGTTCCAAGCGTGGGGGTCCGGCTCTCTCTTGCACCCCGAAGGAGATATTATAATGCTGGACTTGGTCACCCGATTTGACCTGTGAAGGTGGTCTTGGGCGATCAGGGCTGAGGTCACACTGTCTTTGCTCCTTGGTTAGCTCTGGCCAGTCAAGGATGGTCTCAGGGCGAAGGGCACTCCCCCACCGAGATGGCTGCCCAAACTTCTGTGCACCAACGTCACGGCCTGCAGGACTGGGGAACCTCGCCAGCTCCCGCTTCTTACCTGCTCACCTTCCATCTGCAAAGGCGTATTGGAGAGCAATGAAAAGAGAAGGCAGACTAGGCTTGAGGGAGTCTGTTTCTGCTATTTAAAGGCACCCGCCCCGTGCTCCCACCATTCTGTTTCTCACTTCCGACTTCCCCAGGAAAGCACTCACACATGTGCACAACTTCACTGCAGAACAACTTTTATAAGAAAGGGCCGGGAGGGACATGTGCATGGGAAGGGCGGAGCCTCGGGAACGTCCTGCCCCCCCCCCCACGTGTGGGGCACTGACGTGGAAGCTGGAAGAGCAGGTGGACACGTGTCCTGACACGGAAGACACTCAGGGCGTCGCTAAGGGAGTGAGCCCCCCTCGCAGCAGAGCAGGCCTGGCGTGCCGCTGCTCCCGTGGGCGCCACACGCACGCCCCAAAACAGGGGCCCCGTTCCCACGGAACGGACAGGAGACGGGGCGGGAAAGGTCTGTGAGGGCGAATGCCGCATAATAACAGGGTTGCCTCAGGCTAGGGCTGAAGAAGGAAGACGTTTATCGCCACTGTGTGAATTACTTATGATATATTACGTGTATAAGCTAAAAAGAAATAAATGAAAACAGAAAGAAAAGTGGGAAGACTGTGGCTCCTCAAGGAATCGGAAAGTGGCAGTTAGTTAGGTCCAATGTCGCCCTCCGGGCCACTGAGACCACCCGCCCTCCCAGGAAGGATGTCATATTGTGACCCTACTCTCTGGAGCCCTGGGGACACTCTGGGAGGAGAGAGGTCCAGGCAGAAATCAGGTGCGGGCCCACACGCGCAGTCCGGGGCGCTCTGAGGAGGCCGGGTGAGCGCGCAGCCTGAGCAGGGAGCGGCTCTGTGCTCTGGTCGTCCATGGAACCCACAGGTTCCGTTCTCTCCCTCTCCGGTGGCTTTCCTGGGGCTACTACTACGTCTGGGCCCTGGAAACACCCTCTGGGTGCAGAGAGAATGCTGGCTCGAGGTCCACATGAGACCGGGTTGCACCCCAACTCTGCTGGCACCAGACTGGCCCAGAGCAACCTCTGTGCGCTGCTTGCCTCAAATTCAGCCTCACTGGGTGTCGTGAGAAATAAACGGGGCTCTACTTGAGGCACTGGACAGTACCCGGTGTTTAATAATAGTAAATAACAGTGGAGGTGGCTGCTGTTATTAGAAGGAAGTGAGTGCAGCGCGCAGCTTTCCCTCAAGACAAAGGTGTGTCTGTCCCCAGATGTGGGCCCTGTGGCCCCGAGGGTGGCCCTATGGCTGGGTATGGGGCCCAGAGACAAAACACGGGCGCGAGGCCCTGAATCCTCAGGGCTGCTCCTGCAGGTGCAGGGGGTGGGACTGTTTGTCTGCAGCAGAAGGCAAGACGTCTGACTGGGAGGCAGCCTAGGCCCAGGATGCAGTGCTCAGATGTGAAGCCTTCCTTCAGGACCGGCAGCCAGTCCCACTTCCCAGCCGCCAGGGTCCCGGTCCCTTCCTCAGGCCCCTGCGCACTGCCCAGGGTCAGGGAAGGGCAGGCTCCATTCTGGGGTTTGTGCCAAGAGCAGGGACCTCTGGCATTCCAAAGCCACGGAGAACAAAGCTGGCCCTGAGTCTGGCGAAGAGCCCTATGCCTGGGTTTTTCCTTGGCGCCTCCCCAAGAACAGCTGTCGGGAAGGCAGCCCACTCAGGTGGCCGGAGTTGGCTGGGAGGGTCCCTGAGCCCTGCCCCTGGGGGCTGGAGGCAGGGCTGGGCTGCAGGGATGCGTTCCTGCAGAGTGAGCTGTTCCACTCTCCTGGTGCAGGGCAGTGCTCTAGCCAGCAGGGTCTGACCTCACCCTGGCCACTCCCTGGGTTCCAGAACCTTCTTCCTGCAGGGAGGGGCAGAGGCACTGGGAAGGGGGGGGGCGGATTAGGCTGGGAGAGCAGAATGCCCAACACTTAAGGCCTGGGTCACCAGTGCTCATTAGGACTTTGAGGCGACCACCCACCAGCAAAGAACCTTGGACACGGTCCTTATTTTCCTGGGGCTCTGTTTTCCCATCTGCAAAACAGGTTGAAAAAGGACCTAGCTCATTATCTGTAACTCAAAAAAAAAAGAAACTATTGTTGGCCTGCGTTATCCCCTCTCTACCTGACCCCTTTCCTCTCCCGTCACCTTCCTCCCTGCTCCCCAGTGAGGCTCTTCCCGGCACTGCACTAGCCTGGGAGCAGCGGTCTCCACCCTGCAGCCCAGGTGGCAGCCACCAAGGCACTGAAGGTGCGCAAGGAGCTCAAGACAGACGGGCCCAGGACAGCTCTCCAGCCCAACACCAACTGGACAAATGCCACCAGCGGCTTTTTCCAAAGTGCTTCCCACAACCATTGGCCCTTTCCTTTCACCTGCCAGGACCTGAATTTCTATTTCTGGGTTTTGAAAGCCTGAGGGGAGGAGGGGAGGAGAGGAGGATCATTAATGATTGATTCTCTGGCACCACCAGCAGGAGGCCTGGGGGCAGGCTGTGGACGTTTCCTGAGCTGTGGGGACCTGGTGGGAATCTCGTGTGGCTGTGGCACACCCGAGCAGGTCAGGGGCGAGAGCCTGCCCTGGGCCCTTCTGCCCTGGCAAACCCCTGCCGCCTGAAGGCTCTGCCCTTGTGGGGCCCCTTCTGCCTTCAGCTGTGCTCCCTCTTTCTGGGTCCCCTCACAGACACCCCTGCCCCCATGCGGCCCCCCCACCCACCCTGCACCTACTCCCACTCACTGGCCCTTTCCTGCCAACAGGAAATCACCTGTCCATCACCTAGGGTTCAGTCGGCTCTTTGAAAAACTCACAGAGCTCTGGGGAAAGGATTAAAGGAACCGACTTCTACTGCAAAATTTGAGAGCAGTTTTAACTCTGCCCTTTTGGAAGTGCTGCCCTGCCTTTGTTGTCTCATAATAATTAACTTTGTGCAGAGCCGCAGCTTTCAAACGGCTTTTGCATCCATAATTCCTTTCACCTCACAGCAAAGCTAGGACAGGCCTGCCCTCGCCACTCCTACCTGCACCCACATCCTAAAGAAGAGGGAATGGGGGCTCCGAGGAAGGCAAGAGCCCATCCCAGGGAGCCGGGGCCCAGCCACTCACCTCCCAACTCAAAGCAGGAGTGGCCGTCTCCTGCCCAGAGAGCGCACCGGAGTCCCAGGAGGCGCTCACCACGTGGTGCAGGGCGGGCAGGTAACCCAGAAGGGTTCTTGGGGCCAGAAACCTTCCCCCAAGGCTGGCCTCCCCCGGGGCACCTGGGCCAAGGGGAAGAGGCCCATGGTCCATGCTGGAGTTCAGGGGCCAGGCAGCCGGAGCCAGGAGGCAAGATTCCAGCTGCACAGCTGAACGCCGCCCATGGTCAGTGTAAACTCCAAGCTGCTTGAAAAAGACCCCCCACCACCTGCTTCCCAGCTCCATCAGCTAGATGACCGGCTCATCCTGCTCTGCCTGGGACAGTCTGTGTTGGCACCCAACTCCCACATCCAGGGAACGATCGCCCTCCGCCTCGCCCCTGACCACCCCTCCCACCAGCTCAGTGGATTTCAGCTGAGCCTTGGAAAAAAGACCATCTTTAGAAGGCTCAGCAGATCAGCCTGAACTTAGAAAACCACAGACTACTCACTGGGCTTAGGCCGTTCATTGCCTGGGATGGATATTAAACTCTTTGAATGTTAAGCTGGAAAGAATATTCATTTCCACACAGAAACACTCAGATCTGTGGCCAGATCTGTAAAAATTTTAAGGGCAAGCCAGAGTTACTTTCTCTTCTCTATTTTCATATTGAGAACTAAATCAATTTTCTGGGAAAAACACTGGGTTAAAAAATTGTAACTCAGCTTTAACCTCAGGTTACTGGTCGACAGTCTCGGCAGGAGAGGCTCACAGACATCAAGTCTGCGAAGGGCCCAGGAAGGCGTTGATCCTAAGAAGCGTGTTCTGACTTTCCCATTGAACTGAGAGCCTCCTACTTGTGATGCGAAATTTACCTCAAAATTTTAAGTAACGTCAAAGGAAGGCTTGAGATTTTCATTCTTAACTAAGAATCATGGTTCTTTTTTAAGTTTGAGGGGGGAAAACATGATAAAAGGGATACACACACACCCTTTATATATATATATAAAATCTCAACCTCGTCATTTTGCAGACAAGGAGGCTGGCCCCAACAGGTGGGGTGCTGTTAATAACCATTTTCTTGGCCTTCCTTGAAGAGAACGAGGACGCAGAAAAGCCCCCAGGCCTGTTCCCCGCTGAGCCCAGGGAGCAGGGCCCGAGCAGGGCAGGGGCTCCCTGAGTCCCTCCTGCCTGTGGTGCCAGAAGGACTTCTCCGCTCAGCTGCCTCCTGTCACCTGCAGTCTGGGGAAGGGCTGCTCTCAAGTTGTGTGCAGGTAGCTTTTGTACACTGTTTTCATATTAAAGTGACTTTTTAAAGATGAGCTTACAAATGGGATGGGAACAGAACGTTTTGATGACTTGCTGGGGTTTTTTTTGTCCTTTGAGAACTTTTGCCAAAAATGGGGGGTGGGGCGGAGAAGGAGGAGGCTTGTTTTGTTCAGGGGAGAAGAGCATGAGCAAGAAGGAGGCCTGAGTTCCAGCACAGCTGGTACCTCTCAGCCCCTCAGTGGGAGGCCTCTCTGAGGTTTGCAGAACTCTTGGGCCAGGGGCTGGTCAGGACAATCCACGCTCCACGCTGCCCTACAGAAGCAGGTGGTGGGACCGATGCCGTGCAGGGCCTGCTTCCGTCTCAGCGTCCTTCGAGCTGCTCCCTGTGGTCCAACCAGAGAGGGGGCTCTGCACATCTGCAAACACAGAGCGACAGCAAATGACAACGTCAGAGAGACTTTTAAAACAATGAAGCACCTACTGTTTTGTTCAGAGACCTGCACAGATGTGGAGGATATGTTTAGGGTCATCCGTATTCTTTTTCTTTTCACAAAATGATTAATTTCTGCTAAATCGAGAAATGAGAAAGTCTGAGTGGGAGGAGCAAGTGGATTAGTCTGAAAGATAGAAAGTTTTTTTAATTAAGAAAAAATTGTGTGACTTCACACACACACACACACACACACAGAGCCCCAACGAGCTGTCTCTGAGGCCCCTTCACTGCCCCAGAGCAGCCTCTCCAGGCAGCACAGCCCCTCCGGGCCAGGGAGCACCGCTGTCCTCTCAGCTGTGACCCTGAGTCCAGGAGCCTGGCCTGAGATCGAGGGGGCATCCAGCCTCGCCCCCCTCTACAGCGTTGCCTGTGCCCCACTTCTCTCCTTGAGAGATGGCCACCACGAAGCGATCCTCAGCCCCCATGAGAGACCCTTCTTACCCACACCCAGGCCCTCACCTCCCCAAGGCTGCTGGCTCCTGCAGTCAAGGCCGGAGGTCGGCCGGTCCTGTCCCTTTCTAGCAGCCTTCCACGCTGAGGTGGGATCTAGGCCCTCACTGCCTGCCAGTCCTCCGAACTCTTCTTCCAAGTTCAAAATCCTGGAGGAGCAAGAAAGAGGGCTGAGAGGCCTGGTGCTCTATGTGTTGGCAGAGGGGTCCCTGTGAGATGGCTGTGACCATTGTGGTTAGCCTAGCAGTGCGGGTGTGTGGGCCCTGCCTGGTGGTAAGGAGGGACCCGGCTCAGGGCTCCGCAGGGTTCCGCCCTGGAAGAAGTCCACACCAGTGGTGCGCAGGTGAGCAGCTTCTGCCTTAGGGAGCAGGCTAGAAACAAAAGTTCCCTCCTGTGAGAGAACAGGCCCCTGGCCTGTGCGGACAAGAGGACGGGGTGTTGTAAAGCAGCTGCGCCTTTCCCGTCTGCCGGTCAGCGGCGGGGAGGGCACCGAGACCCTCGGGCCGGGCCCTGAGGTCTCCGTCTCCCAAACCTGAACACTCCCAGGCCTGCTGAGTTGGGACTCGGCTGCCTCCCTCTCCTCTCCGCTGGAAACAGAAGCTCCAGAGAATGTTTCTAACTCCTGAGTCCACTCAGCCATGTCCCCCCTTGCAAAATCCTCCCCTTCCCGCACCCCCCTGCACCCAGCCAGCCAATCGGCGGGCTGCGAGCCTCTCCAGGCCCTTGTCTCAGGGCCCTGGCGGGATAAAACCGGTGGCGATGCCTGGCGGATGGGAACAAACTTGGGACCGAGGAGAAACGCGGGCCCAGGGCACCCTCGCGACGGGCCCAGGGCACCCTCGCGACGGACCCAGGCACTGAGGGCCTGCGGCTGCCGGCCAGGTATGCTGCGGAGGCTGGCTGAAAGCTGACCAGGGGAGAGGGCTGGTTCGAGAAAGAAAGGGTCCCAAGAAGCCTTTTCTCCCAAGTTAACCTGGGTGAGGCTGGGGTGGCAGAGGAAGAGGGCACCCGGGCTGGAGTCGGGACTTTGGTGGCAGACCCCCAAGTGTGTGCTAGGCCAGGCTGAGGTTGCCCACACTTCTCCTAAACCCTTCGACTCTAGCCACGCCAGGAAGGCCAGGGGGACAGGGCCCGGGCGGAGGTCTAAGGCAGCAGACTTGCTCTCACGCCCTTTTCCCTGGGTCTGCAGGGCAGCGGTGCGGCGGATGCGTCAGGGACCTGCGTGAGGACTCCCTGAGCCGCCGCGGGCCGCGAGCGATCCTCCGCGATGCCTCACAACTCCATCAGATCCGGTAAGGACGCGCGTGGCCGGACCCGGAGCCCCGCGTCGCTGTGCGTCTGTGCGTGCGCTCGGGTCCGCAGGGCTGGGGGCGTGCGCGCCGGGCTCGCGGGTCCCTCCTGCGCGGGGACGCAGCTGGGGCGCCTCGGGCCTGTCTCCCAGCTGCGACCGCTGCGACCGCTGCGCGGCTTTCCGCCCTGAGCTTCCCTGGGTCCGGCGGAGCTGCCCCCGCAGGCCTTGGTTTCTGCGGACCACACGGAGCGGCGAGGAGCTCTTCGTGGGGTCAGAGAGTTGTCCCTCGCGCCCACCCCTGGCTGGCACGGCCCGTGAGTGTGGGCCGGGACCTGCTGGACTTGCAGTTCCCTTGCCTCGACCACTAAGCCCTTGTCCGGATGCGCGCAGCTCTCCTAGATCCCCTGGCCGGACTGTGGGCCCCGCGCACCTCTAAACCCAACGGGAAAGTAGCCGGTGGTTGGGTCTGAGAGCCATGACTGAGCTGGGGGTTCGGACTCCTCCTGGTCGAGCGCGGGCCAGGCGGGGAGCCGCGCGGGGATCTCGGCCTGCAAGGACTGAGCTGCCCGCGGTGTCGAACCCCTTCCTCACCGGCGCCTGGGCCCAGGGCTTTCAACGGCGCTCGGAGCCCCTGACCGAGGCACCTGCCCTCTCCTTCTCCTGGCCCAGCCGGGGCGGGGTGCGAGGCGCGGGTCTTCGTCCGGAAGGAGCTCTAGCATCGGGGTAATGGACGCGCTGGGCACGGCCACTCGGCGCGCATCAAGTGCGGACAGCGGGCAGAGGCGCGGCCCGGCCGCGGTGATGAATGGAGTCGGGTCGGCCGTGGGGAAAGCGATTTATGGGGCCAGGGCGCAGCGCTATCGATTTGGGCCAGAGAAGTGAGAGGAAATCAATATTTCAGATGAATTCTTGGCGAATATGAAGTCCGCTCGGCAAACGGGACATTTGTTATAATAAGGAGGGTCGGATCCGCGCCGCGCGCGGCTGAGATCTCTATTTAGCCAGAGCGCGGCGGCCCGGCTTCGCGCGCAGCCTCGGATCTCCGGGCCCAGGCTCCGCGGTGTGGGGCGCGGGGAGCCCCGGGGCGCCGGACTGTTCCTCGTTCGGGTTTATTGCGTGGCGGACGCCGGGTCCGCAGTAACCCCTCCCCGCCGTCCCTCCGGGGGCGCGGGTCGGAGACCTCGCGGCCCTTCCCGGAGCTCGGGGGCCGAGCGGGGCTGCCCCGGCACCCCTTGCTCAGCCGAGCCCGGGCGCCACGCGCGCTCGTGGACCACTTTCTGGGGCCAGAACCGTGCTTTCGCCCCTTAGTCTTTAGCCAAATCGGGTACAATACGGGGCGTCGCCCCGCCTCGGGAGCGGGACGGTCTTGGAGGCCGAGCGCTCTCCGGGTGCGGGACCCCACGCCAGGCTGGTCCAGCGCTTCCAGCCCGTCGCCCCGACTGTCCCCTGACCTTTCTGGAGGTGTTAGTAGCGAGTGCTCTCGGACCCCGAATTTACCGCGCTGGACCAGATCCTTTGAGACATAAGAGGAAGTCTCAGTTCCTTGGGCTGGCTTGATTTTGGTTTTGCTACTTATTTTCATTCTAGAAGCAGTCATTAGAACAAATGGGAAGAAAAGATAAAAAGAAAAAGGACACACTTTATTTTTATTTTAAATTAGCAACAGGCTCAGGTGTTGCGAGGATTTCGAGAGCTCCGAAGCAAACGGCCCTTGGTTTGGGGACGGAGCGGCGCAGCGGCGGCCGGGGGGCCTTCTTCTGTCCAGGGGAGTCAGGGGTCTCCCCGCCTCCGAACAAAGAAATAAAGCTGAGCGGGAGGGAGGAGGAGACTCTCTCCTGTAGTTTAATGCAACGCTAATGAAATAAAAGGGAGTTGCCTAAAACGAGGCCCAAAGGGTGGAGGCCGCCCCTGCTCGTTTTCTGGGCCCCGGGCGGGCTAACCCGGCCGAGGACCCCGTCTTTCCGGTCCGTTTACTTGACGCCGCTGCCCCGTGTGTAGAGCTCAGTTCACAAACCCGCTCCTCCTGGTTTTGTAGGCGCTTTTCTCGCTCAGGTGCCAGCTGCTTCTTCCCCCCCAGCACTCCCACTTCTCAAGGCCTTCACCTGGAGACTCCCATCCGCGTCCCCCTGGGGCGGGACCAGGCGAAGGCTGCGGGGCCGCTCCCCGGAGCAGGGCGGGCGCGCCGTTTCCGAAGCCCAGAGCCGCTCTTCCCCGCGAGTCCCGAGCGCCCGGGGCTCCGACCGCCAGCGCGTCCTGGGCCCCTGTCGGCTGACCTTGCCTCGTGTGTGTGTTTTCGGCAGCTCTATTCCGAAGGGATGTGGAGAGTGAATAGCGAGTTCTTCTGGTGCGCGCTGGTTAGCAATGGGCTGAGCATTTCGTAAAACCACTGGGAATTTTGTAGCATCGGGGACCAAAGATCCTCTAAAGTAAAAGCATTGTTTAAATATTCAAAGAGGTGTGGAAAGTGATAAACATCACACAAAGGTCAACGTAAACAATAGTGCGTCACTGGGGAAGAGAGTTTAATAAAGCAAGCGGGTTGTCGTTAGAAGTTATGTGGAACACCTTGCCTCCGCCCTGTCGCCAGCTCCTGAAAATCGGTTGTGCAAATGCAAAAACGAGACCGCGGACCGCGCAGGGGCCTGCCTCGCGCTGCCCAGGCCCGAGACGCGGAGCCCCGCGCGCTCCTCCGGGTTCGGAAAGGCGGAAAGGGGCCGAAGGCGTTTGCGGAGCGCCTGTTTTCTTCGCAGGTTTTTCGCTGGGGTTGAAAATAAGGTCTTCCCGGGATGGACACGGTCCGAAAGGGCATGAAGGGGCACCGGGGCTCCTCGATTCATCTTTGTTTCCAGATGCTCCTTCCTCCCACCCGCCTCAGTGCAAGTTAATTAGGAGATAATTTAGCTACCTCGTGAATTAGTTTTCAGATGAGTATCTTTTCAAGCTTTGTCACTTTAATTGCCCCGCTGATTGATAAGAAGTAATTATTTCTAATGGACACTTTTTGATGTCGATTGGAAGCATTTATTTGGGACTTTTTTTGGAGTGGAAGGAAAGTTAATTAATTTTATCAATCTATACCCAAAAGGACTCTTCTAATTCGGCTGAAGGAGACAAAGGAAGTGAGGGAACACAGCACACAAGTCAATCTTATAGAATTATAATTATTAATAGATTTTTGTTCAAAGGAGAGTGTCTACTATTAAAATAGTATGTGAAAACTTTGCATTTAGGGCCTCAAATCTCCAATTCTAATGGGAACATTTTTTATGGGTTTATGTTTCCCATGGACGCGTAGCATTCACAATCCCTTTATATGCTGACTTTACTTTGGAGGTTAGTCGGCTTTGTAATGAATTTTTGTGTCAAGTAAAATCAATAGAACTCAATATACTTAGAATAAATGGCATTATTTTTGTAAGAGCTAATTGTAAGAAAGATTTACTAATAGTCATCCTTGTTCTGTAATTATTGATAGAGTTGAGTATAAAGGTGAAGCTTTACTTACAGTGACATGTCTTTTCATACCTAAACCTCGGAGTAAACAGTTTAATCATTCACATCCTCCAGAATTTCTTTCTGTGGAAGAGAAAGAAGGGAAAGAACAGAAAGAAAGAATTAACAGAAAGAAAGACAGACAGACAGACAGACAAAAAAGCTGAAAGTAGGCAGTGTGGGGGCAGGGGAAAAGGTGGCTGGAGAATAAAAATGAGCAAACTTATTTCAGAAACGAAGGTGGCCAGGTGCATGGAACCTCGGTCATTCAGTATAAGAAAGTTGAAGTTCTACTTCAGAACACATCCTTTTGAACATGATTCCCACCAGCTCCCCTAAGCAACCCCTAACCTCCACTGGAACCCCTCACTTTTCTAGGAATAAAGGAAGGCACGACCTTTGGGAGCCAGTTGGTCTGGATCTGTGATGACTAGTAAGTCAAAGTCCTGATTTGTGTCGATGAAAAGGGAGTTGGAGCTGTGCATTGCGCTCTCGGGACTTAGAGAGAGATTGTGTGTTTGTTATTAAAGCCCCTGTGGGCTTCATTCCTAGCTGTGCGCCCACAATCTTTTCACAGACAGACTTGTGACTCGCTGACATAGAAGATATTGCCACACTAGCCCAGAGTGGAGACACCCTCGTGCTCACGCGCACAGCTGAACCGAGAGCAGCCCCGTCAGACAAGGTGCCCCCCTGTCGGGTTAATTCAGCCAGTGCCCTTTTCAATCCTTTATGTGTAAAATCTTGTCTGCTTTTAATGACGTTTCTACCAGACTACGTGGAGCTGCAAGAATGAGGAAACATTTTAGATGAAAAAGAAATTTAAGACTCACAAAGAGCAGATAATATCACATACCAACCTCATTATTAGTGAAACTGAAAAATATATAAATAATGCAAAAAAAATCAGCAAGGGAGAGTTTAGTAATGGAAAATTCCCCTGCAATTAAATGAAACAGTAATTCAGTGGAGATATGCCTGAATGAATTAGCATTTGTTAATTGGCTCTCATAAAAACAATGTATGTGTGTGTGGTTGAAGGTGTGTTCAAAGTATCTATTTTTCATAGGAAAACTTCCTCAAATATGCATATCAAATTATGTAGTGATCCCTTTCTATTTTGCAAAACGTCCCAGTTGTCTCGCTGGTGAATTTCACCCACACGCAAAGTGTGGGGGTAGGGAGAGGAGCCCCCATTGGAGGAGAAGAATAAAGCTGCTCCTCTTACCTTGGGACATTTCCAGTGACATGTTGGCAGAGCTTAGAGACATCCACGCCAGGTCCTGAGTGGACTCTGAGGTGGCTCATCTGCTCTGGGGCACAGCTACCTGGGGCAGAGGGGCTGCTCCGGGGCTGTGCCCCGCCCCCGCCTCGCCCAGCCTGCACCAGTCGCCCCCCAGCTCAGGCAGCAACCGCAGTCCTAGTCTCAGGAGGAGCCTGCTCTGCGCCACTGTGCGGGATGTGTCTGCGCTCTCGCCACAGTTGGTCTGACTTCTGAGCTAAGCGTTT